AATGTAACATATACTTGAGTTTTGGAATGGAAGGGGGGAGGATCATCTAGCAGTGGTGAAAGGGGTGCATGGAGCAAAAATGGTTGAAAATTCCAGCTGTAAATACTCATCCAAAGTTTAACTCTTTTCTTATTAATTTTCAAGTAGGGAGGGGAAAAAAAACCTGTTCACATATAAATGTACTCTTGAATAAGGTAATTTTCTGGTTGCAAAAATTCGTAATTTTGAGTATTTATTTTTTGAAAAGCATCTTTTAAAAGTTAATAAAATCTGGATCTTCAAATCTTCAAATAAGATTTATAGCGAAGTGTAAATTAATTAGCTCCATTTGCAGATTTTCTGGAGGGTATTAAGTTTGTTTTCTGGTAATGAAAATAATGTAAAAAATCAATCATAAAAATTTTATTATTAAATTTAAGTTTAAAAAATAAAATCTGAAAGGTTTCAGACTTTATATTACGTCCAAAGGGCCTTTTTTTTTTTTTTAACGTTTTGTATGTTACCTTTATTTATTAAATATTATGTTCTACGTACTCAAACCATAAAATTCAGTTTAACAGCAATATGGCAAAATAATTTTAAAATGAGCATATCCTTTAGAATTTCCGATATAGAATCTCGCGCGCTGGAGATAATTTTTTTTTTTTTTTTTTCTTTTGCAATATTGCCATTGCTCGCTTTGAAAACGTTAAGTTTGTTAATCAGAAATTCGTTGAAGTGTGACAAAATATGAAATCGATAATAAAACAAATTTCAAATTCAAATTAATTCCACATTCATGTCAAATTCCACATGCTCATATTCTATGGAGAATTACGCCATTCAAATTTTGATCCCTCGAGGTACCGTTGTTTTATCACAATGCGGGAAACATACATACATTCATGCAGATTCTTTATTATTTAATTTCTTTAAATATAATACAGGGTGGTAATGTTTGGTGGGAACAATTTGAAAAGTGATTCTCCGTTTATAATTTTCAACGCAAAATGCCAAAACGAAATTAATAGTCCTTCAGGGCAAATTGCCCCATTGGACTAAATAAGCTAAATTTTTACACTTTTTCTTAAAATTCTCATCATAGTAATTCTAATTAATTTATGAGAATATTTGCGCAACGTTTAAATTGTTTCGGCGTGCTTCCCGCGAGTTGCTAGTTTGAGACAACTGCAGTAAGCTATTAAATAATTGCTTCAGAGCAGTTAAAAATGATATGCCTATCGCAAAGGTTCAGTCTTCTTAGCTTCCGCGTAGTTCAAGGGTCAACCGTCCGTTTAGAAATTCTGTAACGGAATTTTGGCGATCACACGCAACGGCAGAAAATGTGTTATTTACTTCTGAATGGCTAAACAAAGGACTTTTTGTTATCAGTTCAAGTTTACAACCAACAACAAATTTTAGAAGGTCAAGTTCGAGGTCTGAATAATGATTCATGTTCTGTTAAAGTTCAGTTCATTCACCTAAACTCCGTGTTAAGAGTTCAGTTCGCCACCCTTCATGGTACTGCGCTTTGTATTAATACAAAATCAAAGTACCAAACAGAATAGATCATCATAGTTTACTCCGAATTCAAGGCGCACGTCAACAGGAAAAAAAAAAAAAAAAAAAAAAAAAAAAAAAAAGAGTTTATTCGCACACTTCCACCCGTAAAATACAAACCAGCTACATAAGCCCAAATATACATAGTTTCAATAACAAATGCATTATTTAAAAATATGAAATTACTTTAATAGTAATGCTTGCCAAATAAAAGTGAAAGAGTTAATTATACATTGAACCAAAACTAACAGTATTCCGCAATACAACAACGTAACCACCGTAATATAACAAGTGATACATTGTTATATAACACATTATACATAGGGAAACGTATAAATAATAGAAAATTAAGCAATCAAAACGATACACTTTTTTAAATTACTGAGTTTATTTTGAATTTAGCTAATACTTCAGCTCTTAACAACAAGATTAGATTGAATCGTTTAGATGACGGCGAAGAATTCCGGGGCTATCTGCTTAAACGGAAGAATGCCTTTGTCGTCTTAAGTGCTTGCCTTAAGTTTGTTTAGCATTTCCTATCTGGTATTACTAAATCATTTGTTTTGCAGTGCGTTTGATGTATGAATCTGGCAACTCAGTTCTGTTTGGAATGTTGTGATCGGGAAATTACTGTTCTGAGCTAGGTAAAATTTAATTAATGCTACAGAAAAATTGAATGTTATTCATCATTAAGATGTGCGGGTCCTTTGGTCAATACATTAAATTATATATGTAAATAGTCTTATTAATCTCTGTGCATTTGTGAAGAGAAAATAAATCGAATATTAAACGGAATTTCGAGTCAAAACAGCTTTCCCGGAGGACCTTTAAAAAGAAAACGGTCTGCATTCACACTGCATCATTTGTTGCGTACTAAACAATCAGGATGACCAAGAAGAAAGCAGAATTCCCTTTTAATATTCAGTTTGATGTGTCTTTGCAAATGCGTGAATTCTGAGGGACTACCAGCATCCACACCAACCAGTCTCCAGACCCCCGGTCTTTAATTTTAGAAGCAAAGCGCTTCAATCATGTCTCTTTGTCATGTCATGTACTTAGCTATTTTAGAGATTATTCTTTAGAGTTGCATCACAGGTCAGGTTCCAATGGGACTGTTTCAATAATTGGCAAGAGTACGGAACACTAACCCCTGCTGCAGGCCAGGTATTAAAGTATCACATTACACATGCATAAGCCACGAAAACTCGTTATCATGCATCCAGTTTACCGGGATCTGAACCCGGATCCGGAACAGTAAACTTCTATGTTAGTTCTTATTCTCTATTTGAGCCCCGTTTAATCCATTACGTCATTAGTGAAATCTCAGAAGAGGATTACGCAAGGCCATTTGCAAACAATTGAAAAAAAGGTATAAGTTCAACGTAAAAATTAATCGCAAGGAACGGATAAATGTGATAAAATCTCGCATAACAGATTCACAACCTGGCCCAAAGTTAGAATTTCCGAAAATTTCCGAAGACGGATTTATACAACTTAGGAAACAAAAGGTTCACTTAGCTACGAGTATTTACAGTTTCTGGAGAAGTACTTCCTGATGAACTAATTTAATCCATCCTCTTAAGCGTTGCTTTCTTTTTCCGAGAACTACAGGACTGCGATAAAAGCATTCTGACGTGGGTGTGTTTGTGATACAAAGAAAGTTAGTTGCCTGATGAGGTAACTCCTACTTCCAAGTCTGAATGAGAATGAACTGAACAAAGAAGTGCAATCAGTTGTTTATAACATAATATGGAGTTTAAAAGTCCATAAGACAATTGAAGAAAAGTTGCTGAATCAGTCTCTTGCACACTTACATGAATGATTATAAAAGACAAATGTGATATAACTACGTAATATCTGAATGTACATCTTTCTGTACATTCAGCAGAAATCTGATCCTTATTTTTTATGCCCGACTCCTTACTTTTGCCCTTTTATCTGATAAAAACTCATCAAACTCAATGCGTCATTTATAATTGCCGTCACTACTTACTTAAACGAATCTATAGTATCACACTCGTTTAATTGCAAAATATAACAAAATCATGGATACGTCTAAGTATTTTATTTCAGCTGCACCAATCAACTACACTATCAATTAAAATGAAAATTCTTTTGAAACAAATTCGATGTACAATTTCTAACTAGTTTGAACTGATATTTTTTTATGTTATTTTTCACAGTTATGTTTTAAAATTTCATTTTTTTCTATTTTTTACTGATTTAGTATTTTTTAGTAGTATGATGAAAATGAAAACGAAAAGAACTAACAACAACGGACAACGGAAGACACTACGCAGGGTAATATTAAAACAAACAAAAAGGTTTCAAGAGTTGAAAACCCGCCAGCCATACCGCAAGATTGGTGGCTACTTGAAGATTACTTGCAGAACGGTCTATTTCCCCATGATGTTAATCCATGCAAAACAAAATAAACCGATCAGCAAGGTCAATTTTGAAATAAATAGACTAGATATACCTAATAAGAAGTGGCACTAATTAAGGGAGAAATGGAAACAGAGGGGTAAACCCCTCGGAACATTAAAGGATGAATGGAAGCTGAAAGAAAAAAAAAAAAAAAAGGAAAAGGCCAAAGAAGTCGTCTATGTGGCAAATTAAGAGATTAAAAAGAGGGTTAATTTAACAAAAATTCTACTTTTTATAAACATTATTGGTTATGAAATATAATGGCAACTTAAATCGCATTCCCGTAAAATGAAGTCAATGTGCAAGTTCAGACATTTCAAGACGGATGATAAACAGGGCTTAATCGGAGATCTAGGGAATATCAAGGCATCCCGATGTCAAAAATATATGAAATAAGAATTCAGAAATATTTTATCTCAGAATGGAAATCTGAAGCAAATTCTAAACTCCCAATCTATTACTACAATTATGATCGAAAAATGAAATAGAATAGCTGCATTATTCTTTCCCACCTCTGTTCAAAAGTCCTAGCTGAATCCTCAGGTCTTAGCTTAAATAGTCATCATATTTGCCTTTATAAAGAAACTGGCTTGTGTTCACGTTACACATGGGTAAAACCACGAAAATCATCCATTCAGGAAGCTCGTTCGCCAGGATTCGAACACAGATCAAGATACCAGTATTCAGCGTTGTTAACTACTCGACCATTGGCGAGGCTATCCGTACACAACAAAATACACAGAATTCAAAGTTAGTCTAGCTAGGTCAATTATTAATGTCAACATCGTATCTCAGTGTTATGTTTAAATTACCTTAGCCGTTTCAGTGTCGGATAGCTCATTCAATAAAAACAATCTATGGATGAAATAAGAAGATCCAAAATTTGAATGCCAGTGCAAATTCTTTATAATTTCACATCAGAAAAAAAATAAATGATTCTTATACAGCTAGCTGAATCATGCAGTTCGTATCTAAAGACGATACATCTGTGAGGAGGTCACAAATAAAGACGCAGGGTATGGATATGTTCTTACCTTTTCCACTGCCAATGAGATTCTTTCATTTCTACTAACATGGATCTTTCCGAATGATTTTCATTTTTAGATCCACTGTCAAAACTAGATTTTCCTAGAGATGAAACAAGTTTCTGCCTTACTGTTTTCACTGTTTCGTATATAAAGGTAAATATGGCAACAGATATGCATAGTGCTACCATACCTGAAACGGAAAACAAACAAAAGTTATAGGATTTTTTACTCCCAATAATAAGCAGCTCATTTAATACAATAACTTAAGTACTATAAAATACAAGCATATAAATCAATTAAGAATGTACTAAAATTTTCCGCTGGACCATTAAATCGCTGTATTTTTGTAACGCAAATTATTACCACTGACAAGGTTTCATTTTTTAAACAAAATTATCCGGGCAATTATCAAGTAACCAGGGACACAAGTAAAAAATAATAATGAAATCTGGTAAAGTAAATAAAATGATACAGGATAACAGCAATAATGAAAAATTAATGATACCTTACGCATTTAAATTTTATCGTTACTTTTTAGCTTTCTGAATGTAAATACATAATTAAAAAAAAGTCTTAAGAACAAGGCATTGTCTTAAACTGACAGCGAAACGCGATATTTAGGATACAGAAAATGCATGCATATTTAACGTACGGAAATTTTGTTAACGGAATCGAATGTTTTAAAATAAGTACATTCTTCACGTTTCTTAAAAAGTTAAATGTTGGCTCGATTTTTATATACAGCATAAATTTCGGTAACAAAATTACTGAATTGTATGACACTTTACTAATTTTATGATACACGTTAAAAGGTCGCATCTCCTAACGCAGTGTTTCTCGACTGGATTTACTCCAAGGACCGGTAAAATATTTCAGTACGTTCTCGCGGATCGGTAAGTTTAATAATTCGACCCACTGGCACAATTTTTTCACATACATCAATCATGAAGACAAAAATAATTTTTAAAGCATTTTATTTGTTATAATTTACATATGTACATTCAACTTATTTTGGATTTTGGACAGATAGCTAGATATTTCGCGGTCCGCCAAATATTTCTTGCGGACCGGCAGTTGAGAAAAACTGTCCTAATGCATACTCTCGCCGCGTAAGTAGTTGGCACAGTTAGCTAGCAGTTGGGAGATCTGTGATTGGAATTCCAACGAGGGCAGAGCTGAATTTTTCGTATCAGCCTGCTTGAAAAAATATTTTTGACGAATGAACGTGTCACCTGCACGAGGTTTTCATCAATTATAATGCGAAGCTTAGGCTACATTAGTCGATTAAGGCAAAGCAACTCGAAGGCTATCTACCTATGGAAAGAGATGCTTTCGTGGAAAACGTTTTGAGGAAAATGGCTCGTATCCACGTTACATATTATCTACGTTACACAATTACATATCCACGTTAGACAAAACCACGCAAATTCGCATGCAGCCAGCCTGTTCGCCGGGATACAAACCAATCGAACTAACAACGCTCAGGGACTTTACCTCCCGGCGAATGGGGCGGCTAATTGGGAGCTTTCTGATTTTCCTCATGTTTAACATTTATACGAGCCAGTTTTTCTTAGAAAGTCCTCCCCGAAGGCATCCATCCCCTCAGGCATATAGCCCTCGAGTGCTTAGCCATTAGTAAATAAACCAAACCAAACCAGAGTCTTTACCGCCTCGGAGGCTCACTATGATGTGAAACCGAGCATATTTATTTAATATATTGCGGCAAAGTATGCGAAAACTATCTGTTTAAATCCAGCGGAAGGAGTGATTGAATGGGCATTTTCATTATCTCTTCGTGTGTACTGTAAATGTGAACCAGTTTCCTTTAGAATGTTCCACTTGAAAGGACCTTTCCTCCTACGCAGATAGGCCTCGCGTACTTTCCTCATTGATCAAACAAACAGTCTGCTTCGTAGAAAAGGACTTTTGTAGAGGATTATCTAAAAGGTACTACCGATGCTACACATGTGGAAAACGCTACGGAGAAGCTCATTCACGCCGCCCAGTCGGTATAGTGGTCAGGGAAGCTGACTGGAAAGGCGATGGTGGCCCACCTATTAGGTGCCTCCATAATAAAGAGACCACCACATCCTGCCTTGTATAGAATAATGGACTGGGTTACATTTGTAATTGTTCACTATCTGCCATTGGGGGAAAATAAAAGAAGCTCATTCACTGGAAACAGAACTCCGGTCGAAATCGTTTAGCGATTTAACACTTATCCAAGTGGTGGGCAACGAGTCAATACAAGTCAGCTCCTAAGGCATCCTTTCCAAAGCAGATAATATTCAGTGCTTTGCCAAAATTAATTAATCAACAAGAACACGTTCAACTTTTGGATTTAAATTTATTTCTTTGGTTTTTCGGAGGTTCCACATAATTCTTAAGTTTGCTCAACATAAAGCACTCTGCAATCAGCAATGTTTTCTACACATATAAAAAGTATTGTTCTCCCCCCCCTTTTTTTATCTTGCTTCCTTCCAAACTGATTTTTACTTACAAAAATAAATTCAATATTTCTTACGTAAGTATTCATACCGTGTTCAACATAAAAACAGAACACATGAATAAATTCTTTTTTTTTTTTTTAGCCCAAAGGGCGTTATAGCTCTGAATTTCGTTTCGGCATTTTGCTTCGAAAACTTTAAAAGTCTGAATCACTTTCCAAATTGTTGCCAACAAATATCATCGTTCTGTTTTATATTCAAAAAAACAAATAATAAAGAATCTGCATAAATGTATGCATGTTTCTTGCATTCTGATAAAACAACGGTAAATAGAACCATCAAATTTTGAATAACGTACGTCTCGAATATGGGCACCCGAATATGGGCATCTGGAATATGGGCATCTGGAAGCACAATTTTGGAATTTGGAAATAGTTTTATTATCAATTTCATATTTTGTACGAGCTTTTGATAAAGAAACTCAACGATTTCAAAGCGAGCAATGGTAACACTGTACAAAAAAAAAAAAAAAAAAAAAAAAAAACATTCTTATCTTTAGCGCGTGAGACTATGTATCGGAAATTCTAAAGATATGGTCTTTTAAAAATATTTTGTGTTATGGCTGTTGCATTGAATTTAAATTTAACGGTTTAAGCGCGGAGAACATGATATTTAATAAATAAAGGTAACGACCAAAACGTTAAGGGCGTTTTTTTAAGCCATTTGGGCTTGTTAGTGGGCATAATATAAAATCTGAAAGCTTTCAGATTTTTTTTCTGTGTTTTTCAATATAATATAATTTAAATTTATTTTCTTTGGTTTTTCGGCGTTCTATATAGTTAAATTTGTTCAATATAAAGCATTCTGTTATTAACTATGTTTTCTACATATATAACAATTACCGATTCCCTCCTTTTTTATCTTGCTTGCTTCCAAACTGATTTTTATTTAGAAAAATAAATTCTTCAGTACTTCTTATGTAAGTATTCATCAGCGTGTTCAACACAAAAACGGAACACATGAATAACTCCTCTTTTTTCATATATTTCCACGCTTTGTTTAGTGGTATATTTTTATTCTATCGTTCAGTCAAAAAAAATTAGGTGAGTTTAAGTGTGCTGCGGTAATGAAAGAATCAGTCACGCTTAACAGAGTTTGACAACTGATTTATTATTTCTATTTTACGCTGATTGCAAATAAAAATGAGTTTAAACAACATGACTGTAAGTGTTTCGCGAAATCTTATCCAATGAATCGAGCTTAGACAGCGACGTTAAAAACGCCATAAACCTCTAAAAGTTTTCATTTTAATTAATTTCTTCTTCTTTAAGTTTCTTTAATTTTCATTTCATTTTATTAAGGTTTAAGATAGTAATCAAAGTCTAATCGCGAACATATACGTCAATCATAAGATGTTTAATTTCAGAATAGAATATTATTAAAAGGAAACACTATAATGTATTTTCTTCACTAAAGATTAAAAAAAAAATTCTGAAGGGTTTCAGATTTTAACGGTCCAAAAGGATACAAATCCAAAAGGATTTGTTACGGTTTCTTCACGCTCTCGCTCAGCTCGCAGTCTAACAGTCTGTTTTTGCACTCACTCCTGCTAAAACATTTCTTTTTGTCATATATAATTCAACAGCAAAATTACAAAACTTTAAAAGCAGCGCAACATAATATGTTTAGAATTCTCCATGCAGTGTTAAGTGCTGACATAAACAATTTTCTATTTTTTCAGTCTTTTCTCAGTTTATCATATCAATGTTCAGTTTTCTTATTGAGATGGCTTCACAAATTCTCTTGAATTTCCGATAGACTGTTTCGCGCGTTGGAGATAAAAATGTTTTATTCCGTACAGTGTTTCCACTCTTGCTTTCAGATCGTTGAGTTTGTTAATCAAATATTATAAAATATGAAACATAAAATTTTAAACTTAAAATTCGGGCTTCTCGGTCCCGATGTTTGGGTGGAGGACTACTTTATTCAAAATTCAATGGTCCTAGGTATCGTGGTTTTTTCACTATGCGAAGAATATACCTACATACATGCAGATTGTTCATTATTATATGATTTCTTTAAAAATAATAGAATAGAACAGAAGTGAGTGATACTATTTGGTGACAATAATTAGAAAAATGATTCATATTCATAGTGAAAGACGAAAAATTCCGTTTAGAGACAGACAACAGAAATAAGCCCATTTAGGGGTTTTAAAAAACTTAAAATTTTATAGACGCATTCTGTATATATAAATAAATTATTGTAATTTTTTTTAGCTTATTACTGAAGAACTGTTTTCCCATTTGCGATTACATAATATAAAAAATCTGGAAGCTTTCAGATTTTATATTAAGCCACAGGGACACTCTTTTCATTTTCGCATTGATACGTTTCGAGAGCATTTGAACTAAAAATATTTAAAAACAGCATACCTTTAGAAATTCTAATAGACAGTCTCGCTCTTTGGATATAAAAATATTTTTTTTCCGTACAGTAAGATGCCACTGCTCGAGTTGAAATGAGTTTCTTAATAAAAAAATCGTTAAAGTTAAAAAAATATGAAAAAGATTATAAGACAAATTCGAAATTCAAGGTTCGGGCTTCCAGGTGCTTATATTAGGGTGGAGAACTACGTTATTCAAAATTTGATGGCTCTTGGTAACGTTGTTTTTTCACATTACGAGAAACATACACACCTTCATGCAGATTCTTCATTATTTAATTTCTTTAAATATATTAC